GCCGGTAGAGCAGCCGCCATCAAGGAGAAGAGAGCCCGAAGGAAGCAACGCTCTGCCATTCTTGTCTCGTTCCCCTGCAGCGTTTGCGGACGTTCGTTTGCATCACAAATTGGCCTCCATTCACACATGAGGTCCCACTCTCGCAAATAGACCTGCATGCCTACTCATCTGTCGCCCCGACAGGAAAGTCCAAAATCATTATCATCATCAGAAAATCAAATTGATGATATTTTGAGAATTGTGTTTGACTGCGTGCTAGGTTTAGATAGTATACAATCCCATAGAGAACCGGCGGACGCATAACTGCTTTGTGCTAACGTGCAAAGGAGAAATTTGCTACATCATTAAAATGTTCAATAAATGATCAATTTTAACCACCTGCTGTTTTTATTGCAAAATTTTGAATTCTGTTCATACCCAATAAAATATGAAATGCAAATTTTTATTTTAGCTATGACTGAAGTAAACACAAAAAAGTTTTGACTTGGAAGCTTTATGCCAATAAACCTTTCACAGTTTACTATTATTTATTTCAATTATTGAACATCCGGACTTACATGCAAACTAACTGAAATAGTCATAAAGGAAGACAGGCAGCCAGCCTTTTAAAAGTAAGATAGCTCAAAAATTAAAGATTTATATTTTAGGAAGTTAAGAAAATCGATAAACAGAGCTTCTCTAAAATTCTCAGCGTTCCAACTTTGAAGCGTTGTCAATGAAGTTTTGTCATTTTGTAAACTTTGGATACGGATAAACAAATAATCTGATCAGGGGCGTAAGAAGTAAAATTGGGGAGGAGCTTAAGATTTCAGGGCAATCGTTATTTAAGAAGGGAATATGAGAGTAATTAATCTCGAAGTCTCTAATTTAGAATAAATTTGTCACATCTCAGTAATCATAGATACTACAAAACTGATAGCGTTTGGACTTGACAGTTCATTATGCAAAGTATTGTCATTTTGTGAGCTTTTGACACAAACAAATATTTTAAATAGTCTATCTTACAATAAGTTGAACAAATATAGACCAGAAAAAAATCACGTGTACTATCACGTGAAGAAGTGAGCTTTTCACTCTAATTAGGCGCAATTTCTAAGGACATACCTAGCAAAACGTTTTTATGTCGTCATCTGTGGTACGAATAAGATAAGTAATAGATGACTGTATAAAAAAGGAAAAAAATTCTTCTTGATAAAAGCCATGTTAGATAAAGTGAAAATCATTTCGCATTTATGATATGCATTACTGAAATTTTGTGACGTGTCATGATTTTGATTTATTTTGTTGATTTTTTAACCCTGCCGTACTAATGATATTTGAAAAGGCAAGCGAAATTAAGTGTTGGTGATAATGCAAGAAAGGTCAGTATTTTGAAATGATAAATTATCCAATTTGTTAATGGGAAAATCCCACAAAAATCAACAGATGTATCAATATAAAACTTATGAAGCGTGAATTCCACCACGAAAATGACGTTCAGGTTTTTTATGACAAATATAACAAAATTCTAGACATAAGAATAAACATTGACACTCTGATATGTGAACTTTAGAATCAACATACCTTAAAAAATTTAGAAAGATTAAAGACGACGCAACCATCTACATGATGTCTTTGCTTTTTCTTGATAATAAAGAAATTGGAATGTTTAATAAATGTTCAATTTTAATCACCTGCTGTTTTTATTGCAAAATATTGAATTCTGTTCATACCCAATAAAATTTGAAATGCAAATTTTTTAATTTAGCTATTACTGAAGTAAACACAAAAAAGTTTTGACTTGGAAGTTTATGTCAATAAACCTTTCACAGTTTACTATTATTTATTTCAATTATTGAACATCCGGACTTACATGCAAACTAACTGAATTAATTATAAAGGAAAACGCGGTAGCCAGCCTTTTAAAAGTAAGATAGCTCAAAAATGAAAGATTAATATTTTAGGAAGTTAAAAAAATCGATAAACAGAGCTTCTCTGAAATTCTCATCGTTCCAACTTCGAAACGTGGTCAATGAAATTTTGTCATTTTGTCAACTTTTGATCCGGAGAAACAACTAATTTGATCAAGGGCGTGAGAAGCAAGTAAAAGTTGGGGGGCTCAAGGTTTTAGGGGCAGTCTTTATTCAAAAAGGGAATTTCAGAGTAATAAATCTGAAAGTCAGTAATTTTGATTAATTTTGTCACATCTCAGTAATCAGAGATACTTCAAAATTGATAGCGTTTGGACTTTACAGTTCATCATGCAAAGTTTTGTCATTTTGTGAACTTTGGACGCAAACAAATATTTTGAATAGTCTATCTTACAACAAGTTGAACAATTATAGACCAGAAAAAAATCACGTGTACTATTACGTGAAAAAGTGAGCTTTTCACTTCAATTTGGCGCAATTTCTAAAGATATACCTAGCAAAACGTTTTTATGTCATCATATGTGTTACGAATATGATAAATAGATAGATGATTATATGAATGAGGAAAAAATTCTTCTTGATAAAAGCCATGTTAGATAAAATTAAAATTATTCCGCATTTATGATATGAATAACTGAAATTCTGTGACGTGTCATGATTTTGATTCATTTTGTTGATTTTTTAGCCCTGCCGTACCAATGATATTTGAAAAGACAAGCGAAATTAATTGTTGGTGATAATGCAAGAAAGGTCAGTATTTTGAAATGATAAATTATCCAATGTGTTGTTGGGAAAATACCACCAAAATCAACAGATGTATCAATATAAAACATATGAAGTGCGAATTCCACCACGAAAATGACATTCAGGTTTTTTATGACAAATATAACAGAATTCTAGACATAAGAACAAACAATTACACTCTGAAAGGTGAACTTTATAATCAACATACCTTAACAAATTTAGAAAGATTAAAGAAGACGCAACCAGCTACTTGATGCCCTTTCTTCTGCTTGATAATAAAGAAATTGGAATGTTCAATAAATGTTCAATTTTAATCACCTGCTGTTTTTATTGTAAAATATTGAATTATGTTCATAACAGCGAGACGATAAAATGATATGAGCAAATTTTATATTTTAGCTGTAATTGAAATATACACGACAGGGATTGATTTAGAAATTTTATTGCAAATTCAATTTCAGTTCAACTCTATCAACTCATAAATGTTGTACACATTTAACTATTGTTAATTTTCAGTATTGACATGGGTGTACCGGACCAAAACATCAGGATGCGGACATTATTTTGCTCAAATAAACGTTGCTTCGCTAAAATTGTCAGCGTTCCAACTTTGAAACGTGGTCAATGAAGTTTTGTCATTTTGTAAACGTTTGATACGAATGAACAAATAATTTGATCCCGGGCGTGAGAAGCAAGTAAAAGTAGGGGGGCTCAAGATTTTAGGGGCAGTCTTTATTTAAAAAGGGAATATCAGAGTAATTAATCTCGAGGTCTCTAATGTAGAATAATTTTGCCACATTTCAGTAGTCATAGATACTACAAAGCTGATAGCGTTTGGACTTGACACTTCATCATGCAATTTTTTCATTTTGTGAACTTTGGACGCAAACAAATATTTTGAATAGTCTATCTTACAACAAGTTTAACAATTTCTATAATTGGCAAGGCGCAACCAGCTACTTGATGCCCTTGCTTCTGCTTAATAATAAAGAAATTGGAATGTTCACTAAATGTTCAATTTTTATCACCTGCTGTTTTTATTGTAAAATATTGAGTTCTGTTCATAACAGCGAGACGATAAAATGATATGAGCAAATTTTATATTTTAGCTATAATTCAAATACACGACAGGGTTTATATTAGAAAGTTTATTGCAAATTCAAATTCAGTTCAACTCGATCAACTCATAAGTGTTGTACAAAGTTAACTATTATTAATTTTCATTATTAACATGGGTGTACGGGACCAAAAACATCAGGATGCGGACACTATTTTGCTCGACGAAAGCGGAAATCCTTTACATGCAGTGCCGTAGTTAGACATGAAGAAAGACATGAACTTCTGGGGAGCATATTTTCTAACGCCAAACGCGTGAGCCTTTCTGGCGAGGTCTATAAAGTCATGCTCACCTTTGGAAAATTTCTAAATCCCATCTAATCCCAAAAAGGTGATTACAAGGACTTGGTATAAGGGTTTGATTATAAAATCTTTGATTAGCTAATCTATAATCTATAACAAATATGGCGGATTCAACTGTCGTGTTTCGTCTTTCAAAAATTTTAATTGACGATATATTTTCTTACTTGGAACAACAGAATGTTTTCTATTGGGATTTTAGATGCAGATTTTTACGTGGGAAAACCTATAGATGGCTTAGATATTTTGTTTTCTAAATTTCGTGAGGCGAATGTTAACCGTCTTCCTGTTTTGAGGATATTTGGCTCAACTCCTGGTGGACAGAAAACTTGTGTTCATATTCATCAAGTATTTCCTTACTTATACATACCTTACGATGGAACTAAACCCAAAGATAAATATCTGAAACAATTTACGACAAGTGTAGACTTTGCTGTTCAAGTTGCGTTTGGTAGAACATCATCTTCTATGAAGTATGTTCATAAAACTGAAATTGTTAGAAAAATGTAAGTTGTTTTCCTTGTTTTCTCGTCCTGTTGACAAAGCTTACTATTATGAAATCCTTTTTACTCTCTTCTTTAAATCACAATACAAAATCTTCCATTTTCGACCCAACATTGTGGAAGTATAGCTGCATGAATTTTCTCAAAGTATTTTGTCACAAGGCAAACAACCGCAGTGTGAAGAAACAATAAACCAAGGTTTTGACAAATTTTGTTTAACTTATTTTAACTTAGATTTATACAATAAAATATTTCTATTTTCATCTATTTTAGATGTGGATGTGGATAGTCCAGTTGTTGATCAGTCATTTATAGATGCACTACAAGCCAGCCAGGCCAGCAATTCATGTATTATTTAACAAAAATAATTCTTTCTGTCTCAAGGGCTCAAATTTTTTTTAATACAAGACATTTATTTAGTTGGAGAGTTGGATAAAGAATTGGTGGAGATTTTAATGAGTTTGGATAAGGATGACAATGAAACACTGCTGCATGAATGTTCTCATATTGCGGGCTCACAAAGTAAGAATGAACACTCCATTATATGAATATTGTATTGAGATCAAAACTACCATAATTAGACATGGATATCAATGGTGATTGTGTACAGTTTCATTTGTCTTTAGTAAAATTTGTCTTATATGAAGTTTTTCAATCAATCTTTTTTATTTTATTGTTTTTTCCGAAGGTAGTGATGATGAACATGATGAAGATATTGATGAAGATGAAGAATCAATATTAATGTCACAGCCATTTTGGAAAGATGATGTAGAGGAACATGATTCCCAAAGGTAAAAGTATCCATTTTTGTTTATAAAATAAAGACAGAAAAATGCGTGCGTTGATTTGTCTATAGTTGAGTTAACATTAGCTCGTGTATATATATCTGAGCTTTATCAACTAAAATCAATCAAAGAGAATTTACAAATCAATCATGAATACATGTTACAGGAAAAATTACAGCCATTTGCAATTGACTGTGAGACGTGCATAATTTAAACGTTTGTTACAGTTTCAAAACTTGACGTTACTAACGGCTAACTGTTTGTTGCTAAGGCGTAACCCTGAGATAGCATTGGTTAATGACAAAGTGTCGCTCTACGAGTCTACGACAAAGACACACTGTGCCTCACCAGTACCAATTTAAAGTTTTATATCTAACGATAAAGTTTAACGTTTTGAAACGTCTTTCCATACTTACATAATTGCAACATGTCACGGTTGTTTATTAAATATAAACAACATTTTCCATAACTTAACATGTACGCCTTAGCAACAATGAGTTAGACGTTAGTAACGTCAAGTTTTGAAACTGTAACAAACGTTTAAATTATCCACGCGGCACGGTCATATGCAAATATCTGTAAAACACTTGTTTCGTTTTAAATTTGTCTGTTTTGTATTATTGTTGTTTTATAAAAGAATTAAATGAAGTTTTTTGTGATTATACAGGCTTATGCAAACATCGGAGACGTTAGTGAGATCTTTTGAGCCTTTGACTTGCCTCAGACTGATCAGCTCTCAAGTTCTCCCAAAGGTCTCCTTGCTTTTCATAATCCTGTGCAAATACTGTAAACATCTTATATCAAATAGTGTGTCTGATGGTCCAAAACGTTTTGATATTGTACTTATGTAAGCTTTTTTTATCAAATTTTTGTTACTACTTTAAATGATTAATTTCGTACAAGAGTATTTTACAATGGCACCCAACATAACAGGATATTTTATATATAAACATGTAACTTAGAATATTTTGGAGTGAAGACATCTATGTTTTGCAATATCTCTTTATTTTCTTTTTTTATCAGTTATCAACTCTGTTAGACTTTGGGACCAGAAAGTTCTATTGGCAGAGGTCGTTTGGATGTATTTTACAATGGAGAATGGGGAACAATTTGTGATGATGGCTGGGATTTAAACGATGCTAAAGGTGTTTGTCGACAACTTGGTTATGACTATGCTGGCAGAGCTTTACTAGGAGGTAATGTTCCACATGGCAGTGGAATAATATGGTTAGACGAAGTTCGTTGTGTAGGAAATGAAAATAATATTTCGAGTTGTTCACATAGTGGATGGGGATCACATAATTGTACACATGATGAAGATGCTGGTATACAATGTTCAGGTTTGTTTCTACATTTTTTACATTTATTTACAAAGATAGTAAACTGAATTATTTGAAGGATCCTCAATGATTAATCGAAACATTTAATATGATTTCCAAATACTGAAACAATATTGACAAATTCCTTAAGTATAAACACAGCTTCGGACGTAAATTAACTATATAAACACAACTCGTTCCACGAGGACATAATTAAACATAACTATTTTATGATAGCCCATAGAAAGATTCGATAATACTCGAGAAAAAGGGCAGTCCATTGACCAAATTTTCCGTGGAGGAATGTAATAATCCTTAAATCATCTGTTTTTTTACGATTGTTTACATTCATTATAGCTTTTTAAAGCTGTAGGCTGTGGCTTATAAAGGCCCATTAAAATTTTTTTTGCATATATAACAGAAGCATCTCCAAATTAACACTGCAGTGTAAATTTATGTCTTTTAATGTCGTGCTGTCTATCTTAAGAATACATTTTTAATTTGTTTTTAACTGTCCGTTAAGGTTCAGCAAAAGCCATGCCTAGAGAGCACCAGAAACGTATTTCTGAATAATTAAAAAGACAGTTATTTTAAAAATACGATATAGTTTTCCACGTTGTGAGCGAAGAGTCTATGTGAACAATTTACTTTTTATTTTTTTCTTGTTTCAACAAGTTATGGGGCAGTGTTGCCATATGGCAATAAAATCAAATGTTTGGATGGAAAACTAATGGGAACATTCGCAAGTTAAAGTGTTAATAAGATATTTATATTACAAAAAGAAATGAGGACTGATCTAAATAAAAAATTATTTAGACTCATGAAAGTCAAATAGTGTCTACTTGTCTAAAACGTTTTGATATTGTACTCATGTAAGTTTTTTTATCAATTTTTTGTTACTAATTTAATTCATTACTTTCGCCTAAGAAGATTTTGCAATGGCATCTAACATATTAGGATACTTTATATGTATACATGTAACTTAGAATATTTCGGAGTTGAGACTTCTATGTTTTTCATTATCTCTTGATTTTCTTTTTTTATCAGTTATCAACTCTGTTAGACTTCGGGGACCAGAAAGTTCTATTGGCAAAGGTCGTGTAGAAGTATTTTAGAATGGAGAATGGGGAACAATTTGTGATGATGGCTGGGATATAAATGTTGCTAAAGTTGTGTGTCGACAACTTGGTTATGACTATTATTTCAGGGCTTTACTACGACGTAATGTTCCACGTGGCAGTGGAAGGATATGGTTAGACGACGTTCAATGTGTAGGAAATGAAAGTAATATTTCGAGTTGTTCACATAGAGAATGGGGATTGCATAATTGTAGACATTATAAAGATGCTGGTGTACAATGTTCAGGTTTGTATGTACATTATTTAAATTTTTATACAAAGATGATAAACTGAATTATTTGAGGGATCTTCAATGATTAATTGAAACATTTAATATGATTTTATAATACTGAAATAGATATTGACACATGCCTTAAGTATAAACACAGCTTCGGACGTAAATTAACCAAATAAACACAACTCGTTCCAAGAGTACATAATTAAACATAACCAATTTTATGATTGCCCAGAGAAAGATTCGACAATACCAGCGAAAATGGGCAGTCCATTGGCCAACTTTTCCTTGGAGGAATATGTTAATCCTTAAATTATCAGTTTTGTTACGATTGTTTACATTCATTATAGCTATTTAAAGCTGTATGCTGTAGCTTATGATGCTCCATTAAAATTTTTTTGCACATTAATAAGGAGCATCTCCAAATTTACACTGCAGTGTAATTTTATGTCTTGTAATGGCGTACTGTCTATCTTAAGAATTCATTTTTAAATTCGTTTTTAACTGACCGTTAAGATTTAGCTAAAGCCATACCTAGAGAGCATCAGAAACATATTTCTCAATAATTAAAAAGACAGTTATTTTAAAAATGCGATAAAGATTCCCGCGTTTTCAACGAAGAGTATGAGTGAACTATTTACTCTTGATTTTTTGCCTGTATCAACAAGTTATTGGGTAGTTTTGCCATATTGCAATAAAATGAAATGATTGAATGAGAAACTAATGGGGAAAGTTCGCAAGTTAACCGGTTAAGAACTTATGCACAGGGGTTAAACTAGCACCTTTTTAATGTGGGGATGAATTGCCTTGCAAGGACACAAGATGCCCTGCAGATCATATAGATTAGTACTTATTCAACATTAAAATATTGTGATGATTGAACACATTTTCGCTATATATTTTTGTAATACATATTGTATTCTTGTGACAGAGGGCACTTTAGCGTATTATTAAATCTTTAATGTCATTTTTTGCATCCTTGCAGTTGCCCAATTTTTTAAAATAACGTTTAGGTCAGCATTGTCCGTAAGATCTTTTTTACATGCAAGAACGATTAAGTCATTTAATCGCGTATCTATCTTTGTGTATCTCAAGCAGTTTTTGACAATCATATACTTCCTGAAACACCTTTCATCTTTCGCAACGGACACTGGAGCGGTCAGCAATAGTTGATACGCCTTGTACACCATTGGAAAGACGTTTTTGTGATTGAAAGCAAATAACGCAACGTCTTGAAGGGATTTGGGTTCTGATTTAAGTTGTGACGACACAATATTATTGAAAACTTCCAACTCAGACAGCAGTATTTCTGCATCATCATCTTATACCGCCGGTGGAAAAGACTACACTTTTCATGAACTGATTCAGCCATCGGCCTTTCTAGTGGCAGCTGTAAACTCTCTCGAAAAGGTTTTATCTGGTCAATGCAAACTTTAATGATATTGATATACTCGGTAATAAGTGAGTCTAGAACCAAGTACATTTCTTTTGGTACAAATCTTTAAAGGTTGTTCTGTTGTTATTTCGGAATGCTCACCAATTCGTTTGGGTGACTTTCTTGATCGATAATGACGTGTGTATTCTGCCATTACGTCTATTCCTACTTTGGTAACGAATGCAACCATTGCCTCTATCTCTGAGTCTAATCCGTTATCGTCACTTCGAATTTGTCTAAGGTTTTTTACTGTAGCATCAATCAGGTTAAGTGCATATATTATATTTAGCTCTTCCTCCTGCTGTTGTTTGATTAGGGATTGGTTTTGTCATTATGATTTGCATGAAAATAAGAGCAAAAAGAAAGTCAAAACTAAGAAATTTCTTTTTTACTCCATCGTCTTTAGATTTTACTTTTGATTCTACTTCTCGAGCATTAATAACTTTCACAATAGCATTTGGTATTACCTCATAACTTCTCCAGACAGCATCAATGGACTCAGAATTGTAAACCGATCTTATTTTTGACAAGTTTCGAAACATTAAATTGTTTTCAACATCTTTGCAACTTTCTTCTACAATTTTATTTCTTTTTGTGCTTTTGCTAAAGAGCACATATACGTAATCTAGAGCGCCGTACGTTGATGTACTTATTGAGCTATAATTGCAACAATGCTCGTTGAATGTATTAGACAGATGTCTCTGGCAAGGGATGTAAGGCACTTGTCGCTTTAAAATTTCTTGCAACACTTTTTGAGCACCATTTAGTTATCCAGATATTGATGTTGCGAAATCGTATGTTTGAAATGCAAGCATATCTATATCGATTTCATTTTCTATTAAAGATTTAATGACATCGTTAGCCGCTCCAGCATCGGTTTTATCAAGGCTCTCTTTCATTTCAAGCCGTCTCTCGCATGGGATGCTCATATGGTTGACATATTTTACAGCTCTCTTTCATTTCAAGCCGTCTCTCGCATGGGATGCTCATCTGGTTGACATATTTTACAGCTCTCTTTCATTTCAAGCCGTCTCTCGCATGGGATGCTCATCTGGTTGACATATTTTACAGCTCTCTTTCATTTCAAGCCGTCTCTCGCATGGGATGCTCATCTGGTTGACATATTTTACAGCGACGATAAGCATGTCTTCATTCAAAGTATTAGGTGTAGTGTCTGCAGACACAGAAAATACACCGGCTGACTTAATTCAGCACAAATTTCATCCCTCACAGATTGAGCCAGCAAATGATGCATCTCATTTTGTGCCTCTGACCTTGTATATGTTGTACTATATGGCCTTAGGCGCTGATCGTCCAGACACAGCTTGAGAACAGGAGAATGTATTGGAAAAAGATTTACAATCTGAATGAATTTTCCGTCCTTGTCGTTGCCGCCTCCTCTTGATGCCAACGACTGCTTGCCTGAGTGCGAGTCACATCAAGAAGAATCAACATAATTTCTTTGTACTTTTCTTCATCTGCTTTCTCTTGCATCAATATTTCCTTCATTTTCGCATTCATCATTACATCAATATGGCCATATGTTATTGAGAAACGAGCAAAACCAGCCAGAGTAGCTTGTTGGGACTTGCTACTGAAGTGTTTATGAAGTTTTCCTTCATAAACACTTCAGGAAGAAAGATTATATTTTGTTCTTTTACTTTTCATTGCAAAAAATGACGTGCTTCATCTTTCTATTGCTACCAAGGAAAAATACTATGATTATGCCAATGGATGAAACGTTTTGATTTAATCATGGTAAGACTTGGTAAACACAAGTAGTATTTAAGGGCAAAATTTAAAACTGGCCAAAATTTGCAAAATTTTTTTCCGTTCAGATCATGGATAGGGTTTTTCTATATTCCTTGATATAGACTGAAAGCAGGAAAGCGCTTTTCTAAGAGTTAAATTTCATGAAATTTTATAGGCTATAAGGAAAGATCCTAGTGATGGGGAATCATGTCAAAGAAATACACTAAAAACCTAATTCTAATCGAAGATCGTAAAAAGTGTCGTGGAAAATTTGAAAGCTTATGTAGAAAATGCTGTGTGTTTGACATTTTTATCCATTGTTGAAATGTATCTGTAATACAAAACTACGTGTAAACAAATTGTAATCAACCATATTATCATATAAAGTAAATGTACATATTATCATAATCTATAAAAAAGTAAAATGATGAAGTTTAATTTCTGCTAAGAATAAAATGTTATTGACAAATCAAATGATTTACTGAATTACATTATCTTTGACAATTGACAAATCGAGCCGTAAGATTTTCTTTTGAAGTTACATAAAGTTATTGCGTGGATTCCGCAAGACAATGCCGGCAATTGCTACCTACCATGCCACTTGTACTGCCCACCAACCAGAGATGACCGCGATTGCATGAAAATAAAATTAATAAAATCAGTTTATGATGTGTTTCAAAGGAGAGGCAAACCTCGACTAGCTTTGTAATTAAAAGAAATCTTAAAATCAATCTATTGTAAATCTTGACATTTAGTTTTTCCGTTGGGACTTGTTAATCCTGTAGATTGATTTACCAATAAATTGATGCATTGTAGGAATCAGAAATGTTTGGAATATGATATCGAAATAAAATTAAGAATCATTTTGTCTCACTCAAAATGGATGACGATTTTAGAAAATGACGTCAGATATTGCATTCATGAATTATTATGTTTCCAATCATTTATGATTTATCAAACATCAAGCACAACATAGAGTACCATTTCTTCAATTGCAATGTTTATGATTGTACAATGAATGCAAATTATAAATTATTAGTGAAAACATTTCATTTTTTGAACTTTTCTTAGTACAGACTACAGCTAAAATAAAGTGTTTATCTTTCTCATGACATATATCAGTGAAGAATCATAACCAGATGAGTACGGTATCTCTCAGAAAGTTTTGGTAATTCAGAAAATATACTGTTATGTAACGTTAAAGTATCGTTAACTTGACATCATTTCATATTATAAAATAAACACAACGAAGCACGTGCGCTGATGGGTTTAGACCTGTGTTTGCATGAGTTTGCGAAAACGATCTAAGCTCAACGAATCAAATCAATCAATCAATCAAACAGAATTTGCAAATTAATCATGACTACACGTTAAAAGAATATTATAACGGTTTTTTGTTTCGCATTATTGTTATTTTTAAAAAAATGTTTTTCGTGTTTGCACTGGCTTTGCAAGTGTGTCTGGGTAAAATTCTGAGCATGTGCAACCCTAGACATTCGGTCTCGGGCTTACACTGATCTGCTCTTGAGTTCTCCCAAAGGTATCCTCGGATTGCATAAGCCTGTGCAAACACATGCAGTAAACATCTTTTATTTATTAATTTGTGTATGAATTACTTCATTTGTAAATAACATCCTTGCTTTATTAGAGTAAATATTTACGAAATGCTAAAACGTCAATGATTTTCACAGAATCTGTTTACAATAGACTACATTTACTATCCTAGATCAAAACATGAGACATTTTCATTTCATTATGCCTAAGTAAAGAGTTTAACGACTTTTTACCCATTTTTAAGAAAGAACACTTATAATTTAATCAAACC